AGATAAACCTTCAGAAGAACGAATCCTTGGAGTATGGTGGAAATGGTGGAATCCTAGAAATGACACCTTCGTATTTAAAACAAAATTTCATAAAATTGATAAGAAACTACTGGAAAACACCAGAAGGCCTACCAAAAGAGAAATTCTTAAAGTTGTAATGTCAGTTTTTGACCCCATTGGATTTATTACAAACATTTTGATTCAGGGCAAAATCTTCTTACAAGATGTTTTTTGAAATAATATTGGATGGGATGAAGAAATAACTGATGAATTATATGAGAAGTGGATTTTATGGATAGATGACTTGAAAACTATTTTTAAATTCCAGATTTATAGACAATATTTCACCTTAGAAAGGCAAAAGTCTATAATACAACTTCATATATTTACTGACGCTTCAGAAAAATCATATAGTGCTGTAGCATATCTAAAACCTATAAGTATACCAAGACTTGAGCTACAAGGTGTTTTATTAGGTGCTAGACTGGGAGGACGATTTAAGGTGTTTGTAGCTCAACGAATAGGAGAAATCCAAGACCTGACTAATGCAACTCAATGGAGATATGTTCCAAGTAAATTAAATCCGGCCGATCAAGCTACAAACCGATTAGGAACAATTGATTATAGTACCTGGTTATTCGGACCTAGATTTTTAAAAGAAGATTTCTCAAACTGGCCTAAAGAAGAAAGTCCAGTGAAAATAAATAAAGATAGTCTTGAGTTGAAGAATGAATCGATATGTTGTGTCATAAGCACAAAATTAAATATTATTATGGGACAATTACCTTTATGTAGATTAGAGCCCACCATAAGATGTTTTATACAAACTGGAATTGACTATTTTAAACCTATAAAAGTAGCTTTGGAGAGAAGCTCTGAAAAACGATATGAAGTTATTTTTACGTGCATGGCAACCAGAGCTATCCACTTGGAAATTGCACAAGATTTATGAACCAACAGTTTTATACATATCTTGCGGCAATTTATATGTAGAAGAGGAAATCCGGTCGAAATATAAAGTGATAATGGTCAGAACTTTAAGTCAGCTGAAAAAGAATTATCCATAGAATTACAGAAACTAAATCATACGGAAATCAAGAGTTTTTGCGTATAGAAAGGAATAAAATGGAATTTTAATCCTCCATTGGCTCCACATATGGGTGGAACCTGGGAAAGACTTATAAAATGTGTCAAAAAAGTAATGTACGAAATAATGACAATGCAGACACCACAAGAGTACGTTCTTCGTACTGTCTTTGCTGAGGCTGAAAATATAGTGAACTCACGTATCTGTCGATCCTGAAGACTTAGAACCACTTACACCAAATCATTTCTTGATTGGTCCATGATATAGCGCTCTACCATGTGTTAGAACCGAAGACGTTAATTTAAATTTTTTATCAACATGGAGAGCTGCCCAAAAGTTATCTGATTTCTTTTGGAAGCAATGGCTAACAGAATATATACCTTTTCTTATTAAAAGGTCGAAATGGCACGAAGAAAATGTACCTTTAAAACAAAATGATATCGTTTTAGTAATTGATCCTAATATAATGGCCCAAGAAATATTTGGCCTAGTAAAGGTCGTGTTATAAGAGTTCTTCCTGGAAGAAACAAAAGAATTCGATCAGTGGATGTCCAGTTAGCAAATGGAACGTTATCAAACTTTAGTCAGCCATTCCCCAGCAAACACGTGGTCATCATAATGACGTGACTAATTGGATTTAATTTACGTCATTGGGACGAAAAAGGTGACGTTATTTTGACGAAAAAATGACGGGTTGATGTCACAGCCCCATGACGTCATTATGTTACAACAAAATGACGTATTTCTGTGACGTGATTTAGTAGGGACTTAAGACGAATATATAACGTAATCTGTGACCGTAAAATCACTAAACAAATAATTTTCAATTTTTTTAAAAAAAAAACGTCGATAATAAACTGTAGAATTAAACAGGGTGATTCGCGTAGCCTGTGTATTAGCTTGCAGGTGGATTAGTCGCTATTTCTACTAATCCACTAGCAAACTAGAGTTTAAATGGCTGCCACCAAACGTGTTTTCTCGGTGACAGCCAATTTTTATTCACTAACACAAATTGCACCCCAAAAAATGCCATTTCTGACACTACCACAAAGCTATACAGGGTGTCCCAGGGAAAACAGTCCACCCCGATTTATGGGATTTGGGATGAGAATCTGGAAAAACGCTCGGACACGTCGATTTTTGATTTGAGGGGGAACTATTTTTCAGTTTTTTCATCCCTGTAGCTTCAACTCCCTAGCTAGGGGGAGAACAACCCCCCAAATTTGTATAGGAGATAGGGATCGTGTTATATCTCTTTTTAAAGGTCTTAAGGAGTTCTTTATGGCCCTAGAATTCTCTCATTATTTTCAGCAGTAACTAAATCACAGCTTGTCAAAATCTTGGAAATAGACTATTGTTTTAGTCGGAGTAAAAGCGATACTTACTTCCATTACTAAAAATACTTGAAATTGAAGTTTTTTATCATCATTATTAATGAGGTGCACACGAGAATTGTAAATTGTAGGGATTTTTACTCGTATTTTTATTAAGGGAGGTAAGTAGGTACCGCTTTTACTCCTACTAAAACAATAGTCTATTTCCAAGATTTTGACAAGCTGTTATTTCGTTACAGATGAAAATAATAAGACGACATTCTAAGGCCATGAAGAACTCGAGACCTTTAAAAAGAGGTATGACAAGACCCCTATCCCCTATTCAAATTTGGGGGGTTGTTCACCCCCTAGCTAGGGGGTTGAAGCTACGGGGATGAAACAAACTGAAAAATAGTTCCCCCTCAAATCAAACATTGACGTATTCGAGCGTTCTTCCAGATTCTCATCCCAAATCCAATAAATCGGGGTGGACTGTTTTCCCTGGGACACCCTGTATAATCAGCCTTCACAAGACACTTAAATATGAGTAGGTAGGTATTTAAAAGAGATTATTATTCGAGTTTCGGCTCTCGCACGGCACCTCGTCCACCTCTGCCAACGGCAAGGCGCCAACAGGCAACAGGTTTAAGGGCGGCTTCTCATGAGCGTAATTTGACATTTATGGCGTGACAGCGTACCTGAATGCAGAATTCTGATTGGCCAAAATCCCGCCATATTGGATACGCTGACACTCTGCCACAGATACGCCAAAAGTTGAGCAAAGTTCAACTTTTCGCGTAAAAATTCAGCGTTTTTATGCCCGATTGCACCATCTCTCTTAACTGAGGCTTAACGATAACTATCCCTTAAATTGGCAGTTTTGCATGGGAAAATGTCACTTTAAGGAATAGTTATCTCTAAGCCTCGGTTAAGAGAAACGGTGCAATCGGGCATTAAGGTTAAGGCTGCAACCGTTTCGTTTTCTTGACTTTTGTGATTTACTGTCCATATTTGTAACTATTTGGAACTAAAACAAAAACAAATACAAATATGTACAATCAAAATTCAAAGAAATATTTCAAAATTTAGGAAAAAAATATAATTTTGACATACGCAGAGGCGTAAATTCTCCACTCCATGTGAATGTTGCGCCAAAATTCACGTATTCAGCATTTGCGCCAGTTATATCAAGTTTACGCCCATGAGAAGCCGGCCTCAGGTTTCACCACGTGCCGGTGCACGGCGCTGTCCGCCAAGATGGACTCCGACTGCCATTTGTGAGCGGGTAATTTAAAGTCTGTTGTATGTTTATAATTTCCTAGTGGATGTAAAATGTATATACCTTTGGGTAAATAGCAAATAATTAAAAAATAGGAATTATACTTAATTAGGCAGAAAGTTTCCGTTTATTCGAAATTCAATAAATTCATACCTACCCACTAAAATTATTGATCAACTATAAGGGCGGCTAAATTATAAATAATAGATATGTCTTTTTCTTACCATTTAATGACATCAAAATGTCATAATTGAATGTCGTCATTAAAGGTCTGTCTGTTCCCACAGGAGTCTCTGACAGTTTGCAAACTGTGAGTCAGCATCGCCCATACATGTTTTCAATGCTGTCGTTACAAGATAAATCTGTAACTCAGCTGAGCGATCGTTTCTGACAGGTTGCAAACTGTCAGAGACTCCCGTGGGAACAGACCTTAAGACGACCTAATAATGACGTATTTATTGACGTCATTATTAGGTACCATGACGTCGGAAACCAATGCCGACCAAAAAATCACGTCAAATGTCGTCAGATCGACGTCAGTGTGTTTGCTGGGTTTCTATTTTCTATCTAAAGTTCAAAGTTCAAGATAGAAAAACGGTTAAGCCCAGATAGTTTATACTTTATTATAGGTAATAATTAGCGCCTACAGTATTTTCTTTGAAGATTGTTGTTCTGTAAAGCAGTTCAGCTCTTACCTGATTAATTCTAGAGATGGCTCCATATTTTAGAAATGCCTTAAGGAAGGAAAAAAAAGGTGGCTCACTCTGAGCAGTAATGAATCGTTGAATGACATCAGTCGAATCGCAGATAGCACTTGAGAAGCATTGAACTTTGAACAAGTGTATCGAAGGGACATGTGTTTTGAATCTGAACTTTTTCTCCATTTATATTCTATGCTTAGGGATTTTGGTGAGTGCTTCCAATGTTCCTGCTATGTGTGTACTGAGTATAGGAAATTTTTCAAAAGTTGCTTATTTGGGGATTAAATACTATCTATCATAACAAGATGAGCACAAGCACATTGAAGCACTAACCATTTATCTGTAACTGAACGTTGATGTTCCTCTTGTTCCTGCTGGGTGTGAAGTAAGCAAGCGATTTCAAATAACCGAAAATACAAGGGTTACCAATTTGGGGATTGAAGCACACTGAAGCACTAACCGATTACGTAAAATTTAACTTTTGGGCTTCAAGTGCTCCTGTCTACTTCACAGAGCCAAAAATATTGGCCATGTTGAGACTTGTATCTCTTAAATGATTTTACACAGTCTGGAAGTCTAAAGGTATAAAGGTTTTGTTTGTAAGTAGGTAGAAAAAAAACTTCCCGAAATAGTTTTAATACACGTACCTACGTAGGTATTTATTTAACTACAATAAAAAATATACTCTTATGATAATCTTAACATTTTAATCAATTAGAGATGTTTTAGGTAGCTTGAATGCCAACATTAACATTCTTCAAATTATCAATATCCACATTTTCCATTTCCTTCTCAAAACAAGCCCCAAACCAATTCATTAGGAAATCTTGTCGCTTCTCTCCAATCTTTTCAAACTTGGACTCTTCAAGACCCTTCTCGAAAAGTATCGGCAGCAAAAACAGTCCGGCATCAGTAGGCGTGGGATTTAAAGGATTTGGTTCGGCAATAAAGTAATCTCCTTGGGCTCTACGAGCTTCTTCCATTAATATTTGCGCTCGGAAACGAAAATAATCTTCTCTGCGCTGATCGGAAATCGGAGTTGAATGCCAAGAAACAAGTTTTTCCACTACGACCTGGATTGTTTTGCATTCGTCCATGGTATTTTGTTGTTTGGCCAGGGCACTTTCTGGTATTTCTTCTTTAGTTTCGTCGTAATCGAAGGAAACCATGGCGAATCTTACTAATTTGCAAATTATTTGTAACGGTTTGCAGTTTTTAAACTTGAACCTGAACTAAATGACACTTGACAGCTACTTATGTATCCATCCTATTTTATAGCGTTTTCTGTTGGTAAAACTCGTGCTGCACTCATGCAAAAATTATGTTCTGTTGGCAGTTTCCGAGCGGGTTTTTATGTTCTATTGGAAAACCAGGGCAATCAATTATTGCCCTCGTGCAACTTTTCCAGTACGAGGTCAGAGAGCTCGTGCCAATGTCAGGGCACAACAAAGATGCCGTAAAGTGCCGAAAAGTCTGTGTATAAACAAAACCAAAAAATTATGGAGATCGATATTGATAAAATTCTATATTTTTTATCTTCATCGAGCGACAGCGATGAAGAGGAAGAATTATTAGGTCTGTTTCTGCAGAAATCACAAACCAGTCAGAGTGAATTTCATTGGTTGAAACTAGTTTTCTGACTGTTTTCAACCAATGAAATTTACTCTGACTGGTTTGTGATTTCTGCAGAAACAGACCTATTATTATTATCTACAATCGCAGGGCTATGATGTATCATTTTCTGTTATTTTAACAGCAACGTCAAAATAGAGACAGAAATAAATGTTGAGCCTTAACACAGACGTTGAAATAACAGGACAGGATACATCATAGGCCTGAATGTTTGCCAGGGATAATGAGATTCCAAAAATTCAAAATTTTATTATTGAAATTGACATGAAAATTAATTTCAACGCAGGTATCATTGGAATTCTTTCTGCACATCTCGGGAGACAGCATAATTATGTACTTTACATACAGGAAAAACTTCCGTTTTCAACTTTTTCATACACACAAACGTTTTTAATTTTTATTCCATTGAAAATATCTTTAGGTTAGGTTAGGGATCAGGGATCGTTAAATAATAAATTTGAAAAAAATGACAAAACGGGCCAAATTCATGTTCTTTTGGGATTGCACTAAACGTGAACTGATTCAGTGTTGAGTGCAGAACTCGGACAGCACGAGTTTTACCAACAGAAAACGCTATTATAGACGAAAATAAAAAGAAAAAGAAAATCTGCCGGAGCGCGTTCACGCTTGAGGCTAAATTCACGTAATCACGTGAGCAACAACCAAGGATAATACATATATTACTACTACAGGATACTGCTTATCCTCATAAGGCCTGTGTAGTTCAAGATTGTTTGAGAGAGGTAGGTATTGCTACAGTGGCTAAATAAACCTTTACATACAGTGGCGACAATAGAGGTCCCGCCGCCATTTTGTTCCCAACCACATGTTACTTTTAAATATTAATATATAAGATTTAAATGGACATCTATCATAAAAAATTGAAATGGACGTATTTGATGACCATTATTAGGTCCATCAAATACGTTGTTTTCTATGATTTTGATGGATGTTCACCCATATTTAAAAGTAACAAGGGGTTGGGAACAAGATGGCGGCATTTTCAATATAAATATATGGGATTTTTGAACCAATCAAAAATAAGACAGCAATTGTCGCCACTGTGGGTAATAGAGTCACTGTAGGTATTGCCTGCAAAATTCCTAAAGTTCATAGGTTTTCTGATAATGGGTTACTTGATGACGCATCTAAGATGCCTTATGGAGATTTGCATTATGTTGAGGCATCGCACATGACGTCATAAAGTTATCGTAACCTACCTCTCTCAAACAACCTTGGGTTGCCTGATAACTTTATGACGTCATCTGGAGTGCCTCAACATATTGCAAATTATTGCTGACAACCTTTAAGACCTGAAGCTTCTTTTGTATTACGTCCTTTGAAAAAAAATAAAAGTGCTTATTTTATAGTTTTCTCATTAATTCGTGGAGTTTTGTTTTGATCTAATAGTTTCAATTTGCGACTTCAGTTAGTTAATTTCTGGTAGTATAAGTATTCGGTTTTCAGTAAACCGAAAACCGAATAACAGTATTTCGGTTTAAGCCAAATCCCCGTTAACCGAAAACCGATAACTTGAAATCGATTAACCGAATAACCGATTTTAAGTTTGAGTAAAAACTGCAGTAAACAGAGACCCGCCAAAATCGATTAACCGAATAATGGATCTCGGTTTGGGTGAAAACCGGGTTTCGGTAAACCGATTAACCGAAAAATCAGTTTCACTTGCCAGTGCTAATGCAAATAATCTCCTTAAGGCACCCCAGATGCGTCGTTAAGTTACCCAATACCACTACAGTGACTCGTGACTCTATAGTCTATTACCAGAGTGGCGACAATTGCTGTCTCATTTTTGATTGGTTCTTTAAAATCCTATATATTCATATTGAAAACGCCGCCATTTTGGGGCTAACTTCTTGCTCTTGCTAATTTTAAATATGAATAGGATTTCAATGGACATCCATCATCAAAAAATGAGAACAACGTATTTGATGTACCTAATAATCAAGAATAATATACAGTACAAGGATTGCTTATCGGCCTCGTTTTTTGGTAATCGCCGCCATATTGGTGTGTCACCATTTTTGACGTCATAAGTAAGGCGTCAACTGTTTGCACTAGCGGTCGTAGCATGTAGTTTAGAATTTAAATTTATGAAGACAATAATTATTTAATTTTGATTAACATAATAGGCAAAGAGGAAGATGAAAACGAGATTTAAAAAAGAGTTGTTTAAGAATGTTTATTAATGTAGTAAAACCAAGTATGCATAAAACAAAAGCCCGCCGAATCATAGTAGTGCAAACAGCCTACGTCCAGGCGAGAAAGTAAATGCTGTCTACATCACAACTGGCGATTTGAGGAAGTTTTGGTGAGGGGCTTCAGATCTTTAAATCCTATATATTTATATTTGAAATTAGCACAAGAGCTAAGCCCCAAAATGGCGGCGGGACCTCCTCTGATTTATTTAGTCACTGTACATACTTATATCGTATCCATCCTATTTTAGGCGAAAATAACAAGAAAAAAAAATCTGCCAGAGCGCGTTCATGCTTGGCTTGAGACTGAATTCACATTGATCCGTTGTAATCACGTGATCAACAACCAAGGATAATACACATTACTACTACAGGGGGCCGATTCTCGGGTCAGGGAGTAGAGCTCCCCGAGAGAACAAATTTTTCATCTTTATCATTCTCTTTTTGATAACGTTAACAAGGTCAAAACATTCGTTCTATCGGGGAAACGAGAATCCGGCCCTAGGATAGCTTATCCTCATCAGGTCTGTGTAGTTCAAATCTAAAGCTCCCCACCATGCCAAAGCACCAGTGATGACGTAGCAGCATGTTGTTTTTCGCCTTGACGTAGGGAGTTTGCTCAACCGGTTATGATTCCGCGGGATTTTGCTTTATGCATACTTGGTTTCACTCCTACATTAATACAAGGATGATACATACTACTACTACAGGATAGCCTATCCTCATAAAGCCCGTGTGGAGCAAATCCCCCCTCACCCCCACACCAAACCACCAGTTGTGACGTAGGCAGCATGTTATTTCTCGCTTTGATATAGGCTGTTTAAACAGCTGACGACTTAGTTATGACGTCGAAAATGGTGACACGCAAATATGGCGGCGATTACCAAAAACGAGGCCGATAAGCAATCCTGTAGGTGTGTAACATTCTTGAGTTTGTTACAGGCTTGCGTCATATTCTTATGAGGATAGGCTATCCTCTAGTAGTAGTGTGTATCCTCCTTGTAACAAACTCGCTTCTCATTGGATGCTCAACTGCAATCCCACGATTTTTCATCATAAATTTAAATTCTAAACCACGACCATTGGCGACATAATATTGCCGGGATTCCCAAAAACGAGGCCTATAAGCAATCCTGGTGTAGTAGTGTGTATTATCCTTGGGCAAATACGTCATTTCAATAAAGCCATATTCTATATTGTTACTATTTATGTTTTTCGTGGAAGAGTCTCAAGAAATAATATTTAATTTTGGTAACAAATTAATCTAAAAAAGTATGTTGAAGTGTCCATTATAATGTTGTCCTGACAATTATTGAATTGTGTACTGAGTGAAACGATATCTAACCATCAAGCAAGGTTCTTAAAGTTAATAGGTTGCAAGGATAATTTACATTAAGCTACAGAATAGCCTATCCTCATAGGGCCTGTATAGAACAAATCCGAAGCCCCCCACCACCCCAACTCACCAGTTGTGTCGACTTTACGTAGGCTTTTGTCCCACAGGTTATGATTCTGCAGGCTTTATTTGCTCTATTGCATACTTGGTTTTACTCATTGAGGTAGAATAATAGGGAGACGCTTAGAGACGCTGTCAGCATTTGAATAGTAGAATAAAAACGGTATCAGTGGGCGTGGCTAAAGACACTAACAATATGGCTACTCACACAGAGCCGAACTAAATAAATTCTTTATAATTTTTATCTAAAAACGTAAAAAAATCTACATTATATGCCAAGAAAGAAGAAGTTGCTACAGAAACTTCAACATACTGGAACAGAAGATCCTTCTAAGACCCAAAATAGAAATTCTGCGCTTCAAAAATTTTTCGCATTTAAAACATCTTCGGATGGAAAATGCGGCCCTGATGCATTACTGTCGCGTTGTTATGACAAAAGTGACAGACTTTCAGACAGAAGAACACTCACAATATGGCGGAACTGCGTACGCGTTTGTCTCGTAATTTCGCCTCCTTATTATTCTACCTCAATGGTTTTACTACAATCATTAACATTCTAATGGCCGGTTTCTCAATAGTGAGTCACCCCCGGGTCAAGCATAACTCCAGGGTAAACATTGCAACTGGACACGCTTACCCTGGAGTTAAAACCAACCCGGAGGTGATTCGCTATTGAGTAACCGGCCCTAAAACAACTATTTTTTAGAACTCGTTTGCATCTTCCTATTTGCCTATTATGTAAATCAGAATTAAATAATATTTTTCATCATAAATTTGAATTCTAAAGTACGACCGCTGGCGCAAACCACTGACGACTTAGTTCATGATGTCGGCAATGGTGATACAACAATACGGTGGCGATTATCAAAAACGAGGCCTATAAGCAGTCCTTAGTAGTGTGTATTATCCTTGAATAGGTTGTTTGGTAATGGGTAACATGACGCATCTGGGCTGCCTTATGGAGATTTGCATTATGTTGAGGCAAGGATGATGATACATAGGTACCTACAGGATTGCTTATCGGCCTCGTCTTTGGTAATCACCGCCATATTGACGTGTCACCATTTCCGACGTCATAGCTAAGTCGTCAGCTGTTTAAACATCCTACGTCAAGGCAAATAATACAATAGACTATCCTTCTGTGGCAATCCAGATGACGTCATAAAGTTATCAGGCAACTCAAGAGGCAACCTATCTCTCTCAAACAACTTTGACCAGGTGGGAAGGTGGGGGTGGGGGGATTTGTCCCACACAGGTTTTATGAGGAAAAGCCATCATGAAGTATGTATCACTCTTGATGTTGAGGCACCCCAGATGACGTCATAAAGTTATCAGTCAACCCAAGAGGCAACCTACCTCTCTCAAACAACTTTGACCATCAAGTAGGCCCTGTAAAGTTGAGCATTTGATTTTTGACAATAATGACAATTGACAGTTAATTCGATAATGGCGTCACCACGTGTCGTGTTAATTTGTTTGTCCCTCCTAGTTTCTTTAAAATTGTGTTGATTTTGGGTAAAATCAATCGAAAAAAAGTATGGTAAAGTGTCCATTACTTAGTGTTGTCTATTTAATTCAGTATTAGAGCTTGAAAATATCCGGAAAAACGGCTTTTTTACCTAAAAATATCAATATCAATCAAGAGAGGTAAGTGAATATTTCTAATTTAAATCAAGTTGTTGCCCCAACTTCAAGTTATAAAACAATTTTCTAAACTAATAAGGGTTATGATCTATACTATACGATACATGGATACACCCTCGAGAGCGATCCTGCTTCCAGTGTGTTGCCAAGGGTGAAGATAGCAACCAAAAGAAAAAGCGCTGTATCTCGGAAATAGTACGTGTTGCGGAGGTCAAATTTGAAGCAGGATGAGGCAAGACAATAACAGCACAAGCAGGAACCTGTTTCAGCGATCCTGCTTCCAATGTGTTGCCAACGGTGAAGTTAGGAACCAAAATGAAAATTGATATATTTCCAAAACGATGGGTGTTGCTGGGTTGCGGTTTCAAGCAAGACAAAGCAGTAATATAGCAGCACAAGCAGAGGTGCATCCTAAAGATCCTGCTTCCAATGTGTTGCTAACTTCCCCGATGTAACATTGCATGACTATTGTGAATTCCAGACAAGAATCATGAATCTAAATTTTGATCATAACTGAGAAAAACTTGAGAAAAGATCAAAATTTAAAACTAACATGCCATGCAGTTAACAAAAACATGGATGAAACTGAAGGAGCCGTTACACTAATGCAACTATCATCGACTGATTGTTGAATGATGAAAACATCGCATACTTCTACCCTCATCGACCCAAGAAACCCAGAATTGATTCATCAAAGCAGTATACAAATGTAGCTCGAAAATCACGATTACAAAATTTTGAAAATATAAACACACTATAATAATTAATAACTTTACTAAAAGTTCCAGCTTCAATAATGCTTAATACTTTTTGTAGATTCCACGCCATCATCTTTTCCATCATCGCTCGGTAAAATATCAAGCATTTTACCAATATCAGAACTGTTCAATAATTCTTTTTGCACACAACCATCAAACCACTCCATTATATACTCCTGCCGCTCAATTTCGTTCTCTTTCGCTTTGGGACAATTCAATTCTTCAAGTTTTTGGTCTTCGAATAGCTTTGGCAGCAAGGGCGTAGCACCACTGGGTACAACTTCTCTAGGATCCGGCGTAAAAGACGAACTGACCGGTAAAGGTGGCGGAGGCGGATGGACGTTCCTTTGCATCTCGCGCCGGAACTGACCGTACTGCTCGTGATGGTCTAGGAAATCTTCAAAATCGATATCGCGCGGCATCCACAGATTGTAGTCGATCACTGACGCTGGTCGAGATCCTTCGTAGGACGAACGGTAGTTTCTCGGGAAAGCATCCGGACGATTTGCGGCGGAGCGAGCAAGGTCACTTTTTTCTACCGAAATGTGGATCGGTTTGAATACGCTCGGAGTTTGTGTCAGACTGTCGTCGGATTCAATGGTTTCCATTTTACGAATCCGGTGAGATGTGACATCAGTGTCAAGGTTGATGTTGGTGACATATTAGTCATTAGTGACATACTAGACAAGGGCCGGTATTTTAATGTTACCTTAAAATCAAGTACCCTTAAAGTGAAGGTGTACTTGAAATCAGTTCATTTAGGTGGCTTAAGATCCATCTTGATTTGAGGGAACTTTGATATACGGCAGGCCCTGCGATCTCTCATTGCCAGTTATAAACCACATAATAACTCTTTTCCGTTTTTCTAGATGTCGCTGACAACCACAGAATTAGGCAATTCAAACCACGTGACTTTCAAGATGGCGTGGCGGCCACACATGGGCCAAAAAACAGAAAAAAATATCTAGAATCTGCTCGATTTATTAGTTTAGGTACCTAGTCAACAAATATTTTATTAAATAGTCTAAATCAAAGTTGCAAGCAAAACTCTAAGCAAAATAATTTGAAATACGCATAAAAACACATTCAAAACAAAATTGCTTGGCCGCCACGCCATATTGAATTTCCCTATCTGACAGATGGATTGAATTGCCTAAATTAGGCAAATACCAGCACATCAAGAACACGTCCGATGTCGATAACTGACATGTCAACATATGACAATATGCCAAAATATTAATTTGATCTAACTAATAATTCATAATGTTTTTTGTTCGCCGGTTTTGCATTTCATCTTTCTTTGTGTTGTCAAGTGTTCTCAAGTGATTACAAAGTTGTTTTGTGTGTTTCAAGAAGGACTTCAAACTTTATAGATTGGAAGATCTATTTTTATCTTTGTTGATTAGATAAATGACAGGTTCAATTAAACATCAATCAGAATAAATATGGTAAGGATACCCTTAACCATCGATAAAGAAACTGTCTTTTGATCTAATTAACTAATTATCAATTAATTTAAGCAAACATTAATGCCCCAAAGTCTAGAATCAATGAATTTGAACAGACCGACAGTAATGCGAACAGGGCGCCATCTATCATAAAAAGTCCTATGTAAAGTAGGTGACTGTAGCATCGATGCAAAACCAGTAAATAGTGATTTTCCGATATGGTAGATGGCGCTGGCTTGGCTCAATTTTGTTGACAATAAAATTTACACTGAGATTCCATTCTCGACAGTTTATATAGTATTTATCTCTGATATACGGTGAAACTGGTATTAAGGATGACTTAACGTTATTCTGTACCTAAGGTGATATTGAAATACCGGCCCTAACTACAAAATTCGAATAAAACATACTCCTCCGGTAGGGCATTGAATGGTTATTCACTGAAGTAAAAGGGGATCAAACATTTTTAGCCAATTATTCCTTATTATTTTATAAGACATTTGCTTGTTTTAACGAGTGAATATTTGAGTAGCTTCCTCAAAAATTAATGACGGTCGGAAAATAACCGAGACTTTACCGGATGCAATACGCGGCTAATCTTGCTAGCCTAGTTTACATACATTTTTCCTGTTTGTCTCATTTTAGAGAGTCAAAATGTATTATTGCAAGCAAGCGGCTTATGCGGGGTTTATCCGCTAACAGATGATGGAGATAGTGAAGGTAACAACAATCACAACCAGATTGAAAGTTCAAACATATTTCCAAACTTATGAAGATAAGTCAATTATCAAGAAACCAAATCTGAAGTGAAGCTGAGAAGTCAGCCAAGTTAAAACTGAAATAATTTCAGAATACAAAGTGGAACTGAGTAGAGTAAACACTCTACTCAGCTATCAGACCACATACCCACCACTACCACGTAAAACCTCCTTCCAGCACAGCCATCATACCACTACCCACCTCCACTGTAAACCCCCTTCCGTGAAGCCCTGAGTACTTTTTTGACTCAAGTGCCCCCAGCTATCAATACCCACCTCTTCTACGTAAATAATTCACCAGATTCACACATTTTGGGGTTGGCCCTGGTCAAATTCCCAAAATTCCAAGTCAAAGGCGCCGATTTTCCCACGTTATCGAAAAAGTTCCCACGGTTGGCCCGTGTCAAATTCCCAAAATTTCAGATCAAAGGCAACCGATCTCGAGATTTTCCAACGGTATCGAAAAAGTTCCCACGGATGGCCCGGGTCAAATTCCCAAAATTTCAGATCAAAGGCGCCGATTATCCTACAGTATCGAAAAAGTTACCACGGTCAAATGCCTTCAGTTATCAAACCAATACCCACCTCTACTACGTTTAAAAACTTTTACTCTTCCATATCCCTTCATTTTCTTAAAAACTAAAGATTATTTAAATAATTCCTTCATTTTTATTCGTCAATAGTGTTTTGAATTCCATGAGATGTAGAAGCTCTTGAAATTGAGTCAGCTGCTTCTGTTGAAGATGGTCTTTCAAAGAAAAAGAGAAGAACAGTCTGGAAAAAAGGACATTTTGCTACAGTGTGTTTATCCATTCAAAAAATGCTTCAACAACAAAAAAACCCCTAAAGGTTAAGTCAAATGAAGTCGAGTGATGCTTCAAAAAGTCATGAATATACTAACAAAAGTGTTAAAAATAAAGAACAATCAACAGTGAATTACAATCAACAAGTAAAAGATCAAAACAATGAAGAGTCCTCATCAGATTGTTCCTTCAACCTGGTAGGTAACAAACAAAATTGCAAGTCTATCACATGTTACTTTATCAGTTAACAACAAATAACTTCAATTTATTATTGGTACTGGTATATCAGTGAGCCTGATTAGCGAGAAAACCTAGAAAGACAACTTTTTAGAACCTCTGCACCCGCAAGCAAGATTTTTCTATATAAGAACTTAGAACATTTACAAGTTATAAGAAAATTATCAATAATTATGGAACATGAAAACAACTCAATTTAGACTGTTATTCATGTTATAAAGGGTGAATCTCGAGGGGCAAACCGCTGATGGTATTTTGGTGTACACTATCATGGTATTTTTGGAACAGGGATGCTATCAGCACTATAAAAATTGTACCAGAAAGTAGGGAATAATTGTACTAGATTGGCGACATTGTGTACTAGCTGAAAGCCCATCAAATTTGAAATTTGAATACAAATGTAAGTTCTGCTAAATGGGGGTAAATATCATTTATTTTAGGGTCGATTTTTCATAGAGGTGGGCCAACCTGCGATTTTACTGGAGCTGTGACAAGACGTGACTTCTCCAGTCGTATCACGGTGATAAATAGCAGTGATTTTTTGGAACAGTTTCACCTTGATTGACCATGCTGGTAATACATATAAATGCTACATTATATAATCGCAGTCCACCCAGTTTGCAGTCATAGCCGAGAGAGGTGTTCCAGTTTTGGCGTCACCGCGATGCGATTTACAATAATATTTCATTATTTGCATCACTTTGACTTGAGTTTAGTCCGCGCTGCATCTGCATCGGTGAAGCAGTGACAAAGTCACAGTTCGTGAAATCGCAACCCACCTCTAAAATTGAGTACTTGAAGTGCATCCTACTTTATCTTCTTGTTTGTTTCACTGATTTATAACCGCATTTGTTGTTTTTGCAAATGTATCCTACCTTATCTACTTCTTTGTCTTACTATTTTTGCTGAAAATACAATCAAATTAACATTAAAAATGAATGGTTTTTATTTGCTGGAAAATGAGGAAAAACATTCTATTTGAGATTGTAATTGTGGCAACGTTGTTTTCGATCAAGTAGGCCTTGTAATGTAATGTCATTTCGATGGTTAAAGTGCAAAACCTCGTAAGTCAATATTAATAAATTTTACAGGAAAAGCGAAAAACGGTTACACTCATTAATCGATAAATTTGAAAAAGTGTTTTAATTAAAATAATGTAATATGCTGAAGCATTTTCTTGAGATATACATATTTTTTCAAAATTTTTGTTGATTCAAAAAAAAATCTACTTACGAGGTTTTGACTTCTAATATTTAAAGTGTTTGCCACTTTTGACAGCCGAATGTTTTTATCCAGCTTTTCCTTGAATTTTCCAGTTTTTCAATCAAAAAAACTTGTTTAAAGTACGAGGCTTTGAGTTTCCTTCATTTTTTGACAAAAATTTCCAGTTTTCCAACGAGGTTAGTGTCCAGAACCTTGGTTTGATCAAGTAGGCTTTAGAATGTTGGTTTTCCATTGAATTTTCCACTTTTCCAAGGCTTCTTCAATCGGAAAAAGACTGTTTTGGGTGCAGGGCTTTAAATTTGCTTCAATTTTTCACCATAAACTTCTATTTTTAGACTAAAATAGTATCCTACTTTATGTCTCTCTTTGTCATACTCATTACCAAATTATTAGTCGGCCATTTTGAAGTGTCGTGTTTTCAGTGCTGTGAGAACCGTGGTACGAGCAGCAGTGTTTACGCTCCCAATAGAATCGTAAATTCCGAGTGTGAAAAAATAAATAAATAAAATATTTAAATTAATACTAACTGTGTGTTACCTTTCCCTGGTGAGTTGGGTTACTATTACTATTTTTTATTCTTTTTTGAAAATTTCCGTCTCATTTTAAAAAAAAAGCTTACATCATTTCAATAAAAACCCTCTAAATTTGTAATCTTCGAAATGAATGATTCTGGGGGGGGCGGCCCCCCCATGGATAGTACCGATAATACAATTTCAATTAATATCGATGAGAGAATCAATAATAATAAAAATAATGAACAAATTAGAGAGAGCATTTTTTATAATAAGGATGATGTCGGGCCATTCATGGTATTTATTGAATCCAATGAAACAACAAAAAAAAATGTTGGTAGATTCAATAATTTAAAAATAGCTAGAGAAATATTTAATCTTGAACTTAAAGATGTGAAAAAAATTAACAATAAAGGTTTGAATCGACTATCCATTGAATTTTTTAACTTTAATGCAGCCAATTCTTTTTTAAATAATAAAAGCCTCCTTGAAAAAGGGTATAAATTATTCATACCATTCAATTTCGTTACTTGCAAAGGTATTGTAAGGCAAGTAGATATTGATGTTGACATTAATGATTTCCCTCAAATGTGTAAAACTAGCGTTCAAATTCTGAATGCCAAGAG